ATTATTTGCTCTTCCAGGGTAAGAAGTACAAGCCCCTGGATCTGAGACCCAAGAAGACCAGAGCTCTGCGCCGCCGGCTCAACAAGCACGAAGAGAGTCTGCGCACCAAGAAACAGCAGAAGAAAGACCTCCTCTACTCCATGCGCAAATTTGCTGTCAAAGCCTAGTGGCTTTTTCTATTGACTCAATAAAATTGATGTAAAAAGACTGTCTGCTTTTGCGGTGTTTTGTTTAACAATATCTGGAAATAAGCTGCAACATGATCTGTATCAGAGGACAACTGTAGGGTTTATTTTAGAATCCAACTGAGGGTCGGGTTTGGACAGTTCGGGTGGTCGGATTCGGTTCACGGGCTGCCAGTTAACCACTGATCTATTTTAATTTCTTATAACAGGATTCACCATTATGGTTGCACCTGTATACAAAGTGTTCTAATGTCACTCACTTTCAACATTCAATCCACTGTTTTACAGTGTCCATATATTCTCTAAAAAACCTTGGTGTCACCACCTGATTACTGCTCTGTACAATCAGAGTGTATCAAGTGACCTTGGCAGGATCCACTGTGTGGAACAATAATCAGAACAAAGTACTTAAAACACTTAAAATGTGTAACTTTATAACAACTTTAACAAATGTGTGTAGAAAAACAACCAGTGTTGTTTGCTGAGGTCTCTTATTAGTCCTCCTGATTGCAAGGATTCTATGAAGTTCTTCAATATCAGTCTGCATGATGAAGTTTGTGGACAGATTTGTTTTAAATTGCTTCTATGTCAAGCATGGGCAACCTCAGGCTCGTTTGCCTTTTTAATCTGGCCCACCAAACTTGTCCAAAATTATGTTACTGATTTCTATTATCATCATACTTCTGCCTTTTCCCTTGGGATGCAGGTTTACCTGCAGAAAAACATGTAACTACTGAACAGATCAGTGTGGTGTAGCAGACTCCTGTTTATCCGGATAAACAGGAGTCTGCTACACCACACTGATCTGTTCAGTAGTTACATGTTTTTCTGCAGGTAAACCTGCATCCCTTGGGATGCAGGTTTACCTGCAGAAAAACATGTAACTACTGAACAGATCAGTGTGGTGTAGCAGACTCCTGTTTATACGGATACTGAATTCATTAAGATAATTTAAAAAAAAAAGCAAATGTACTTTTTACTGCCTTTTACTGCCACTGATTCTACTCTACTGTGAAATCCCCAAAACACTCATCTATCAATCAACAATCAATATTTATCTTTTCCTTGGTATGATTTAACAAGTGCTGCTGCTTTTCTTCTTTCTGTTTCTTAATATTAAATACAATATGGGAAAAAAAAGAAAAAAAGGGTTTGATTCATTTTTATTCATAAAAATCCTCCCCTTCAGTAGGATGCTACCATGATATAGAAATTCACTGAACACACGGTGTTACTCCTTTTCCGGTTAATGGGGGCGCTCGTTCCCATTCTGAAACAGACCGACGAGGAAGAGAATCACCGGAAACACTTTTTTTTTATGAGCACGCG